CCCGGTAGTGCATTTTTCAGAAGCCTCCTTTTTCTGCATTGAACCCGCCCGCCCATCCCCTGGCTACGCCCACGAGCTATGAAACAGTGACCGATTATACCCAAGCCCAGCTAGTTTCTGTGAACATTTCAGTATATAATAGATGCAGTGAGCGCCATTACACACTCATTTCATTATCAAAATGTCTACCTATTTCATTGTAAGTGTTTTTTTTTTTCAAAATAAATGACGTGTAACAATGCCGTACTTAAAAACACCTAGTTCAATTTAACATGTTACATTGGGTCCCTTTCCAATGTCTGGTGCATCACATTCTAGTTATCCAACTTCAATTTAACCATAAGCCCGTGATGCCATTAAAGCGCCGATTCTTAAGAAATCGCTTCTACGATCGCCTCTGCTTGTCATCGAATTGCGTCGCATGTCCATCAGGTAGAGAGGGAGATCGCATCTCCACCGAACTGTGCGACGGTGTGCCATATACCATGCACACTGAATACCATATATCATGAAGTGACAATATCATAAGAGAGACAGCAAGACCCTTAAGTAAGTCTCAGAATCGAAGAACACTTGGTGGGAAAACGAAACTCCCATAAATCAACACCGCTAGGGAGACCTGACCTAAGCAGACGAAATGGCGACGATTTTGAAGTGAGGGTTAGCATAATAGCGCAGGAAACTGTGTCTGTACGATTGTGAACGTGATTCGGTTAGTTCTCCTTGATGTCGTTGGCTTGGTAGAGTCTATATACTGTCTAACCTTTTCAGGTCCTAAAAAAAGGCGATTCAGCAGGAATCTTGGGCTACAAAAAATAAAAAATATAACAATCTTGGGTTTCGTTGAACATAAGGATTTATATGGATAGTAAAAGTAACGGATAAAGTGGTCGGCACTAATCAATCTCGTTTGTGGGATGCACCTTCGAAGTTATCTGAGTAAAGGCATTGAATGCGTATGTGTCCTATACAGTCACTTGCGGGGGTTATCCGATGTATCAAATCAGTGCTTCATCCTCCCAGAATCCTTTGGTACCAATTCACAGGGGGATGGATGGCTTGGTTTGCCTAGGGCGGGAACGAAACATTACATCGGTAGTGCGAGCGAATAGCGGGCCTCTTAGCACTGCTCTATGCGCGCCCCTATATGGGTAGTAGATTTGGAAATTATAGGATTTGAACTACTGGAGAAGCAGTTCATGGTGCTTTCACTGGACAACTGTAGCATCACCCTTACCCTTATACTTAGCAGCATGAAAAAGCAGCTCTGAAGTAAAATGCACTGTTGATGGCACTTTGTTTAAGATACTCCTTCTGTGTGTTGGCAGTTTGCTGGCTGACAACAAAGGTAATTTTACCCGTTTGAGTTGTGTATAACGTAACTTATTTGTAACTCTATTTGATTTGAGGATTTTTCATAATCTTAGAACCAAGGTGCGAAAATGGTACACTTACCACGGCTATGAGACGAAAAATACTTGATTTCCACAACAAGGTTCGAACGAGACTTGTAGAAGGACAGGAGAAAGATCTGCCTAAAGCGAAGCGCATGCGCAACCTGGTTTGTCACACAAGTGTTGATCTTTAGAGGAACATGAGACTCCCAACATCAAACCTGCAGATTTTAGACGTGGGACTGCAATTTAGAGAAGAAAGCAGAGAGTGAATTCACCACAGATTGTCTTATCGATCCGAAGAAGGTGAAAAATCGCGGCTTCAATCAATACGTGCAAGAGTAAGAGATTTTGATTTTTGTGTTAACATTGGTGAATAATATGAAAACGCTGCAGTTCCTATGATGATGACGCAAAAATCACCTACGGAAAGGATTTGAAGCCAGCTCTTAACTGGTGGTGGGACAGAAGGAGCGAAATACTAAAGAGAAGTAACGTACTGACACATGAGGGTTTGCTACCTTTTGCTAATGTATGTGTTTTTCAGAAACCTCTTTCCCTCACAATTATGATCATACTTCATCGCCTTTTCTAATTTTTCCAGATGGCAAACGAAAAAAATAAAAAGATTGGTTGCACCTACAAATTTGATGAGGTCTTCTCGTCTTTGTATGCTTATACGATAAGTAAGTTGGTAACTCACTGGATGGTATGATCGAATGCAAAATTGATGAGTTCTAGAAAAATCAAAGAAGGCGAGGTCATTTACAAAAAGGCACAGCCGAATTAGGTAGGTATAATGGTTCTTAATTGATACATATTTAATAGGTAGGGCTTCAAAGCTAGAAGTCATAGGTGCAAATTGTATGAAGAGGTGGTTAACCAGAAATTACTACTTTCAGGAATTCA